ATTTTGTCATGCAGCTGACCTTCTCTTGTCAACCTTTAGTGTAGTGTAAAAGAATATCCAAAATTATATGAAAAGTCTAATATATAACTCCAAACAACATATCACAGCAGATTAACTACAGATGAAGATTTAAGTGGATTTTCAAATCTAAAATTTGTTAAGCCAAGCACAGACCAGAAATTTGTAAAACACCACCAACTCTTCATATTAAATGATTTTGCTTGTTTGGGAAAATATTTTATTTCTTTAAAAATATGTCATTTTCCACCAGACACTCTGCTAGAGAAGGAGGGGCAATCTCCTCCTATACCTGTTAGATCCGATTTGACGGTATACACACAAAAAATAATAACATTTAGAAAAAATGTTATTTATATTAGCATTTCTTTATTATCTTACTTTTAAAGGTATTAATAACTCAATATTTTTTAAACTTGGACATCCTGTTTTCTAATACAGTAAAAATGGTAAAACACACAAAAGTTGTTTAAGCTCCTCAATAATTTGTAAGACTGGAAAGTGGTACTGAGATCAAAAAGTTCAAAAATCATTCTATGTGCTATAGATGTTTTGTCAACCTCCTGTGATAGTGTTTGTTGAGATAGTCTTCCGTAGAACTGGTGTCAATGTCTGGCTAAACCAACACATAGCAGTTCTGTCTAATTTCATCTTCTCTCTCACACTTGCCAAAACATGCTCTATTTTGTTTTCAGCAGGGTCATATGAACCACTGACTGATCAAATTGGGCCATATCATATTCCTACAGAGCCCAGAAATAGCTACAGAGGATAAAAGGCAAAGGCATTTACCAGAGTTTAATGAAAACAGCCTGTTTCTTTTTCTTCAAGTAAAATCTCAAAGTAGGATTAGTAGGTGATTTCAGAATTATGTACAGGAAATATGGGTGGGTTCCTCTAGCTTCTAGATCATGACAGAGCCTGGTCCCTGGCTCATATGGCACTTGGAACTGAGTAGAGAATACAGCTGGTATACATCCCATGTTATGCAACTCCTGAAGAGGACTGGATGAAATACATTCCAGCAGTCAGCTTTGAGAATTGTCCAAGTTTTTACTCTTGGAGATCTCCCATTCTAACAGGAGTCCTTAGAGTTTGGGTTGTACTTTAGATGATCATCCTTCATCTAATAAATATCTGAAGCCCTTCTTTAAATAATCAAAAAGAAGAAGAAACATTTGGAGTGAAACTGAAACCAGTTCTGGAGCAGGGCCTATTTGGTACTATTAAAAGAAGAAAGATAGCAACTCCTAGTCATCAAGCTAAGAATTTTATTCTCCAGATTTCATCAGTACTACTGCTTTGCATTAGGGTTTTCATAACCTTGCTAGAAATTAGAAGCGTTTGCGGCACTTTTCTTTTTTTTTTTACTAGTTTATTTAAAAAATTCAAATACGGGGAGTTCTGGTGGCCTAGTGGCAAGGAGCTGCAACTACAATCCCAGAGGCGCACGGTTCAAATCCACCAGATGCTCTGCCGGGGAAGGAGGGGCAGTCTCCTCCTGTACCAGTCAGATCTGATTTGATGGTACACTCACACAAAAATAATTTTTTAAAAAAAGATTCAAATACATTGTTTTTGAGCTTGTGGCACTTTTTAAAGTCCAAAGCCCTTCCTATTCAGACATACTGAATCAGAATCAGATGAGTGGCAAGGTGAAGAATGAGATGTCTAGTGAGTTTTTTATAGACACTTCAGGTGATTCTGACTATAGGCATCTACTGTTGAAAGCATGGCCCTCCAGAAAGCATGAAGATTCAGAAATAGCCTGGAAGACAACACTCTCCAAAAAAAAAATAGCATATGGCCAAACAGCAACTGGGCAGCCAGGCTCAAAGCCTGCTGAGCTGAGTGGCCGCCAAGAGCAAAGTTGGATGTTTACACACTTAAAATCAGTTCTAGGTTGTCACAGCAACTCTTCCCAGCACAATTCCTTCCTCCCCTTTGCACCTTCAGGCCAGGCCTACTTCTCTCTATCATGTTTTTTATGTTCTTGGTAACCTGACCTGCTGCATTCTTTGTCTTTTTCTTCTAATTCCTTTCTCTTTTTCTTGTATGTTTACTAGTGTGTAAGAATATTTCATCTCTAGAAAACTCAACACTCCCAAAAATACACCTAAAATCAAGAAATAGGGGAAAGAAGAAAAAAAAAAGAGGAACTTGAGTGGCCAGAGTAGCTGGTAACCAAGAAAAACACCCAAGAGCCTTGCTTTGCTCTGAGTTTATGTCTTCTTTATACATTTAAATTGAAATTACGGCTTCTAGGGCCTGTAATAAATTCAAAACTTGGAAAAATTCATCGCTGTCAAGTTGGAACTGACTCATAGCTGACCCTCTAATGAGTTTTCAGAGGCACAGGAAGAGATTGCCCGTCTTCTCATGGAACCGTTAGTAGATTCAAACTGCTTTCCATCGAGTTGGCAGCACAATTCCTTACCCACTGGGTCACCAAAGTTCCTTTAGAGTAAATTAGTAGTAAAGAAAAGAACTGTTCTTGGCAAACACAATGAAAACTGATGAAGAGTACTGATCTCTGAATAGCAATGAACAGAGGGATATAAAAACTTAATTCAGAACAGTCTAGGCCTCTTAGGGTCAGAACAAATCATTTAACACACTTCAGTAGAGACATGACTTTAAATTAGCTATGATCCAGAAACCAAGAAAATGTCAAATTATAATCCATTTAAGGAGGCAGAATACCATGTGTTTTGTTTTTCAATTTTGAGCTTTCCAAATAAAAGCATTAGTGATGCCAAATGGTGCTAGTGCTTAAAGGAGTAAAGTTTTTGCTATCCAGATCTTATTCTTGAGTCCTCTAGATAATCAGGATCTTTCCTATCATACTGTTTCTATTACTAAGACATTAAAAATCAAAAATCAAAATATTTAAGGCAATTTAATCTTAATTCTATTACTTTCTACCTGGCTCTGTATTTAGCAATACATGATTCTAACCACGGTAGTCTTTCCCTGCCAAATTTCTGCCCATGTGATAAGTAGGAGATCCGATCCTATTTCTTTGCTTGTTCATCTGACTGTGACAGCGTCATAGATGTCTCCTGCTCCCTTGAGCTAGAAATTCAATATCACTTCATCTCAGCCAGGCAGAAAAATAAACCATTGCCTGCCACCTCCTCCCTCGTTTTATGCTCCATAAACTATATTTGGCATGTAGTATGCATTTAGTATACATGAATGAGGAATGCACCATCACAGTATGTCTATAGAATTAACTCCATGAATGAGACTATAAATTTGATACAGAGCTTAGCTGTTACTAGAACAGCTATCAAAGAACACCAGTAAATTCTGGCATTAAGATCAAATGATTAAATAATATGTTGGGAAAAAATTAGGATACATAAACAAGCTGGGGACCTTGAGTTTTAGGGGGAGGGAGGAAAAAAGACGATTACATATGCAGGGAGAAAAGACTAGAAGGATGTAATCCAAAACTACTGTTGCTATCAATATGTTTATCTATTAACTTAAGAAATAACTGAGCTCTTCCATTCAGTCTGGTTCAGCTCTGAACATTGCAGAGCTAATAACTACAGCTAGTAGTTGCTGTTAATATGCTTTGTTGTGTTTTTTTGTTTTAAATTTTATTATTTTGTGTGTGTGTGTACCATCAAATCAGATCTGACTGGTATAGGAGGAGATTGTCCCTCCTCCAGCAGAGTATCTGGTGCATTTGAACTGCGTAACTCCAGGATTGTAGTACAGCATTTATATACTTTGTTGTAAGCTAGCCAACTCACAAGAAAATATATTAACAATAATAAAGTAACTGCAGTTTAGAATTTGAAAGCAAGAATTACAGCAATTGAAGCTCATGACCAGCTGAGTACATTAATTGTACAACAGTTACTAAGTAAATGACTTTATAAAACTTGAGGATTCTACTTCTTCTCACGTGCACTAAAGCAATAGGAATATCTTAAACTCATCAACCAGATTTCTTTATAAAATGCAGAATGACTGCAGAAACCATGGAACTAACATGCTAATATTAATGTGCTGTTATTATTACATACTTTGGAGTTGGAACTGACTCATAGGTGACCAACAGGTTTTCAGAGCAGTGAGTCACACAGATTGTGTATCTTTTTCACTCAAAGCCAGCTGGTGGGTTCAAACCACATGTCTTTGGGTTGGAAGTACAAGTCCTTACCAGAGCTCTCTAATATTAGTTTAAGAATACCAAATAAAAAAATAAAAAAAGAATACCAAATATAATTGTCCCTTTTTAATACTGCAAGCAAGCCTGAGCTGTGCAATATCAGTGCATGGCCCAGTAGGAGATCTTCTGTAGCTCATTCATAGCCATTCAACTCTGAATCACAGCTTTAGAAGAGCATTTCCCAGTATAACTACATGGATATTGTAACTTGGCTGATGTTCAGAAGTGACATGAGCAGGACTCCTGAAATTATTGCCCTAAAGTAAGCTTTTAAAATCACCTCCTAAATAAAGTCTCTTATAGCCAGACAGTAGTTGAACTAAACTATTAATAGTTCTAATAGTTTGCTTGCCTGGAGCATTATGCTCTTAAAAACAATATGAAATGCAAATGACAGTAACAACTCGAAAGATCAGATAGGAGCCTCAGGCAGCAGAGATTTTTAGTTAATGAGGGAGGAACAGCTCAGAAAAGGAAGGTGTATATGATTGCATAACTAGAAGAAAGTAATCAACTGTCACTAAATTATACATTTGAATTGGTGTGTCCTACTGTTAAATATTCTCAACAACAATAAATTTTTTTAACAATAAATTTTTTAAGGTTTACTTTTGAAATGTAAAAAAAAAAAACCTTATTCACGGGATACCAGTTTTATCTTCTAATGGCTTTCATATAATGTATAGGGGTGTTTTTTCCCTTCCTGGGCTGAGTTTCCTGCTGGATAAATTATCAAAACTATAATGGGATTGCATGAGACACAAGTAACCCTCTTCTCATCTTTCTCTCCCTCCAGGTTATCCCTTTGCTGTGTTTTATCGACATTACCTTTTCTACAAGGACAGCTACCTCATCCATCTCTTCCACACCTTTACAGGCCTCTCTATTGCTTATTTTAATTTTGGTGAGTGAACTAAGTTAGCTTTGACATCAGGATAGAGGGAACTCAGGAAAGAACAGATTTGAACAAAATGTCCTGAAGAAGGGGAGCTCTGGTGGCCTAGTGGCAAGAAGCTGCACTGCAATTCCAGAGGCGCATGGTTCGAATCCACCAGATGCTCTGCTGGGAAAGGAGAGACAATCTCCTCCTGTACCAGTTAGATAGATCTGATCTGACGGTACACAGACACACACACACAAAATAATAATAATAATAATAAAAATGTCCTGAAGAGGATTTTATGCATAAGGAAGTTATAGAGCTCTGTTTGCAAAGAAAGGGTTTCACAAACAGGAACACTGCTCAGCTTTATCTGTTTTCCTTTAATGTACAATCGTCTCTAAAATAAAGCCATTCTGAGAGAGGTGGAACTATGCCAGAACCATCAGCAAAGAGATACCAGGCTTTCTCTGCTGTGGTTTTAACTGAATCACAGATCCAAGCAGATTCACCTCTCAGCTCAAATACTCAAAAATACAATCATACCTGGTAGTCCTTTATATTTATACAATTAATTCCAACCTGTTAAAGAACTTTCCCTGCCCTCCACTCCTGCCTCCATTTAACTCTTAACCCTTCCCAAAAACTGTAAACTCTTGATAAAAACAGTTCTGGGAAAAGCTTTACTAGGTAAGCTATAACATGGGAGCCCTGGTGGCAAACTGAGTTAGGTAGTGGGCTGTTAATCAGAAAGGCAGCAGTTCAAGCGTACCAGCTACCCAGAGAGAGAAAGATGAGGTAATCTCGTCTGTGTTACGATTTACAGCCTCAGAAACCCCAGTTTGTCATGAGTCAGAAACAATGTAATGGCAGTAGGTGAGGGGTTATAACTAACCTGTAGAATTGACACATATAGTTAAAACTAACCCAAAAGAAAGCTCCACTTTTAACTATCCTCTTCCCAATTAAATGAATGACAACCAGTCATCTTAAATTTTCCTTTTGGGAAATCCCCTAACAACTTGCACTGTAAGTAAAAGTTGTAATATTTCAGCTCATCAGAGCTCATCACTTCAGAGAGATGCTCACAAGCTCTCAAATAGTTCTTTCTACCCAGTAAAACCTTAAAACCTTTTAACTAAATGACTCATCTGAACTCAAACTTGCTGTTTTCTCTACCCAGGAAGCCAGCTCTACCACTCCCTGCTATGTGTCGTTCTTCAGTTCCTCATCCTCCGATTGATGGGTCGCACCATCACTGCTGTCCTCACCACCTTTTGCTTCCAGATGGTGAGCGTCTTCCCTCTCATACCTCAGTTACTTCCAATCACAATGACCACAGTTTTGGGGAATAAGGATGGTGAAAGCAGTGTGCTGACAGACATCATTTCTCTCCTCTTCTAACATGAGGGAGCTCTGATGGCCTAGTCCATTGGAAGCCGTAGGACGCCACAGGTGTCCTAAAAACCATCTGGAAGCTCAGCTATGAATCAGCTCTAACTCCACAGCAGTGGGTTTCTCTTAACACTTACCAGTGTTCTGATCAGTAGTATGATTTTCGGAAGGCTCCTTTTCACAGGCCCCAAGGACTTCACTTGCATAAGCAATGGTGTGTTTTACCTGTCTCAAGAGAGCAGATAGCCCACCCATCCTTTACATGGGGCCACTGAAGTTCTTTGATTCTGACTGGTATTACTTCATTTATCTCAGATATACATGAGGGGCAGCAAAACTTAAAAGTCATTGCCGTGGAGTCAGAACAACTCTTAGCTGACTGTCCTTCAACTCACAGCAGGTGTCCGAGACTGTTGCCAGGAAAGGCCTTTCTCCCTTGCAGCCACTATTGGATTCGAACCCCCAGAGAACAACCTTTGAATTAAGTGCATAACTTTCAACAAACTACACCACCAGAGTTCCCTAAAGCAGCTCAGAATGAACTGTAGTTGTTGTTATGTGTCATCAAGTCACTTGCGAGTCATAGAAACCCTGTGTACAAGAACTCTAACCACCGTTTTATCCTGTGGCAACTTCACCATCTCAAACGCACTCATTCCCACCACTCCAATCACAGAATCGATCCATCTCATCAAAGGTCTTCCTCTCCTTGCCGCCCCTCCACTCTACCAAACATGATGTCCCTCTCCAAGAACCAGTCCTTCCTTGCAACATGCCCAAAGTATGTCAGACGAAGCTTCAGAATCCTTGACTCCAGGGGGCATTCTGGCTTCACCTTCTCTAGGACAAACCTGTTTTTCTCCTAGCAGTCCATGGTATATTCAACACTCTTCTCCAGTACCACAGTTCAAAGGCATCAGTTCTCTTTCTATCATCCATATTCACTGTCCAAGTCTCTGATACATAGCACATAATTACAAAGACCATAGCCTGGATCAGGCACACCTTAGTCTCCAGCCTGATGTCGTTGCTCTTCAATACTCTTGAGAGGTCCCTTACAGCTGACTTTCCCAATGCAATTCGTCTCCTGATTTCCTGGCTGCTGTTACCAAGAGTGTTGACTGTGGAGCCAAGTAAACTAAAACTGTTAACTATCTCAATCTCTTCACCATCCATACTGATGCTGCCAATTGGCCCAGTGGTGAGAATCTTTGTTTTCTTGATGTTGAGCTTCAATCCATATAAGAGGCTGCAGTCCTTGACCTTCTGCAGCAAGCACTTCAGGTCAGGATGAACTAGAGAATCTAAATTCTGATCTCATTTAACCTCCATTTTGCTAAGGATCTTGAGCAAGTCTTCCCCATATAGGTTTAGTTTCTCCACTTGTAGATTTTCCTAAGACTTAATGATAGGACCAGGAGAAAAGGAAAATGAAATACATTCTATTTCAAAACAAGATAAAATAGTAATGTTGGTCTCCTCTCCTAGGTCTACCTTCTTGCTGGATATTATTACACAGCCACTGGCAACTACGATATCAAGTGGACAATGCCACATTGTGTTCTGACTTTGAAGTTGATCGGTGAGTGGTGGGTCACTGCCTTCCGTTTTACACGCAGGCTCCTCCCTAAACGGACCACAGACTTCGTCTGTGCTGTCCCCATTGCACTCAGCATGTCCTTTCCTTCTGTTTTACCCACCCCTTCTCTCTGCACAGGTTTGGCAATTGACTATTTTGATGGAGGGAAAGATCAAGTAAGTACCCACTCTCCCATTGAGAAGTTAAGGATTTAACTAGAGGGAAGGAGAATGGCTGTTGTTACCAAAAGATAGAACCTAAACGCCCAGGGCAGAAGCTCTCCCTTGTTCCGCCATCTGTGTGTCCACCCTGGTCCAGACAGCACTGAGTAAGGATCAGTACTAACTTGCCCCAGATCGGCTCAGGCACACAGGCCAGTGGTCACTGCCAGCTGGGCATTTGGAAAAGCAGCACCAGCCAGCTCTTGCTAAGCTGCTGTACACACATGCTCGTTTCTAGGTGAAGCAACTCTTTTTTTCTGTCATCCCCCAAAGAGATTACTGTTTTTCTTTGAAAAGCCCCCCCCACCCAGTTCAGTGGGGCACTAGGGTGGGGAACCCTCAAACTGGCTTTTGTGGGGAGATTCAAGGCTATCCTGAACCATTCATTCTCTTCTTGGCATAGAATTCCTTGTCCTCTGAGCAACAGAAATATGCCATACGGGGTGTCCCTTCCCTGCTGGAAGTTGCTGGTTTCTCCTACTTCTATGGGGCCTTCTTGGTAGGGCCCCAGTTCTCAATGAACCACTACATGAAGCTGGTGCAGGGACAGCTGACTGACATGCCAGGAAAGATACCAAACAGGTAATTGCCCCTCTGGTCAAGATCTCTGTGTAGGTGTCTCATCCAATACAAAGTCACTGCCCAAATGCCTTTCCTGAAGGCCAGACCTGACTGCATCTGCCAGGATGGCCTGGGATACAGGCCTGTGCTGCACAAGCCCTGGGCTGGGATGACATGGGCCCACCAGGCCTGTGCACTGCGGGGAGAGGGCCCTCGTCAGCTTCAGTCACTTCCACCCATTCAGTCTGACCCTTTAGTACAAATTTGAGTATTTGCTTTTATGCCCCAGGATTTCACCTGAACCACTCCATCTTCCTATCTCTAAAGCCTAACTTATCATTTAAATAAATATATCACATATATCAAGTAGAAATTTAAGTTATTCGAAGAATCCTTTTAGGAAAAACTTGCCTAACCTGTGTTTCAGCATTAATCAAGCAAGACAGGAAGGGGCAGATTTTAAATTGCTATATTTTTATTATCTACATGAGATTTGGAGTCTTGATATAGATTGGGAACCCTGGTGAGCCCTTGAGGTCAGGAGTATCCCAGGTGTGAGACACCACCCGACTCCCACGTGCTCTCCGGCTGCCCTTCCCTCCCTTAACTCCAGTGTTACATTCACCATTCCTTGTAGCTAACCACAGGTCTTACTCCAAAACTGGAAAGACTTCAGGCAGCTCCTCCCGTTCCTGATAGGCATGCTCTTTAACACTCGATAATTTAAGCAGAGGGTGAAGAGAACAGACTCTGCCTTTTGTGACCCCAGTTGTTCCTTTCCAGCACAATACCTGCTCTTAAGCGCCTGAGTCTGGGCCTTGTCTACTTAGTGGGCTACACTATGCTCAGCCCCCACATAACAGAAGATTATATGCTCACTGAAGACTATGAGGTGAGTAGCTCCTAGAGCAGCAGCTTAGGACTACATCAGAGATAGAAAATGGACAGGCAAAGATTCCTCTAGACAGCTTAATCATACCGCCTACAAATGCATGTTGGTTTTGCTCTAGATCTGTGAGAGTTGGTGTCAGTGCCAGCCGGAACATGGTCATCAGCCAGCCTTGAACGACCTTCCTTCGCGGGCACAGGGCTGTGCCAGGTGTACTTTTAGCACCCCTTCCCTTCCCCAAGAACACCTCCTGGCACAGTCACTTCTGGCCTTCTCCAGCCTATGCTCCTTACTTATGGATTTGAGTGTTTCTAGGGAAACAGGAAGTCACTCCTCCCCACCTCAAGGGTTTCAGCAGTTCCATAGCCACTGCTGGTAGGTTCCCTTAAATTACCAGCGAACATATGGTATGTCAAAGTTCCTAAGAACTTGTTGCTCCAAATGCTCCGTGCTGTGCCAAAGGAGGCATTCGATAGAGGAGTTAAGGACAATACTGTCCCTCAGACCCTCCCAGGAAAAGGAGGTGAATGGTGCTCACTTTGCTCCCCTACTTATTCCAGCAACCCTGTAAGGCCAGGTGACAGAAGTGTTTTGACAAGTATGAAGTAGGTCACTACATGTTTGAAAACTGAGAACATTAAGGGAAATTTGCCTTGTCTGTGTGATTGCCCTAATGCACACATACTTTTTTCTTCTCAAGAACCACCCTTTCTGGTTCCGCTGCATGTACATGCTGATCTGGGGCAAGTTTGTGCTCTACAAATACGTCACCTGCTGGCTAGTCACAGTAAGTAGACAAGAAACAGGGTCATAGATAGGCAGAGCTGTGGGGGAAGTGACAGGAACCCTGACAGCTGTTCCTTCCCTCAGGAAGGAGTGTGCATATGGACAGGACTGGGCTTCAACGGCTTTGATGAAAACAGAGAGGCAAAATGGGATGCCTGTGCTAATATGAAGGTGTGGCTCTTTGAGACAACCCCCCGATTCACTGGCACCATCAACTCTTTCAACATCAATACCAATGCCTGGGTGGCCCGGTAAGCAACTAAAGGGGAGCTCTGTGCCCTAGTTCCTTACGTTTGCATCGTCTCCCACGTCAGGAAGAACTTCCAATCCCTCTCCCACACACCTGCACACTTGGTCCCTTCTCTGCAAAAGGGGAAAAAAAATTATTTTTTTTTTCTATTTGAAAACCAAAAGCAAGATATTCAAGTGCCTTGAGTCCCAGGTTTTAATCCCAACTCGGCCATTGGTTTTATGTTCTCCGTGCATTGTTTAAAAACATCTTTGTTTGTTTGCTTGTTTGTCCCACCACTAGAGTTGTAAGCAGCACGAGTAGAGAACTGGTCTGCCCTGTACACCACTGTGGTCCCAGCGTCAGGCACTCAGTAGGCACACAGTCATTATGTTGAATGAAGTGGCTTGTCCAAGATCACCCAGCTAAACCTTGGGTCTGTTTTCTGTCTCTAAACTGTGAGTCGTCATCTTAACTGCCTTTCATCTCTAGAGCTAATCACGTAGCACTAGCACTGCCTCCCTTACCCCTGGTGGCCACAAGTGGGAGCCAGCACCACTCCACTCCTCAGGGCGCCGAGAACCTAGTGGCAGGACGGTGGGCATGGAAGGCCTGGGCCTGGCTGTGGTTCACCCTTATGCACCCTTTTCTCTAGTTATATCTTCAAAAGACTCAAGTTCCTTGGGAATAGAGAACTGTCCCAGGGTCTCACGTTGCTGTTCTTGGCCCTCTGGCATGGCCTACACTCAGGATACCTGGTCTGCTTCCAGATGGAATTCCTCATTGTTATTGTGGAAAGAAAGGTAGGCCTTAAGGGTAATGGCTGAAAGAGGACCGGGAGAAGGGGCATTCTGATGACCTCTCTCCCTTTCTTTTCCAGGCTGCCCGCCTAATTCGAGAAAGCCCAGCCCTGAGCAACCTGGCCTCCACTTCTATTCTACAACCCTTTTTTTACTTGGTGCAACAGACCATCCACTGGCTCTTCATGGGTTACTCAATGACGGCCTTCTGCCTCTTCACATGGGACAAATGGCTTAAGGTAAGTTTGAGCCTTTCATGAGGATGAGAGAGAATCCATGACACCCCAGGCTTTCAGGGATGTTTCATGCTCTCTCAACACAAAAACTCATAGCCAACCTTCCACTGGGTCTCCACCTAGGAGGTTCCTCATTTATCTTCTCCCACAGAGTCACCACTAGATTTGAACCACCAGAGGCATGGCCTGTGGCTTAGAAGCACAAATCCCTGTGCCACCAGAGTTCCCTGCCCTGTCTCAGCAGCCTTTCTCTCTCCACAGGTGTATAAATCCATCTATTTTCTTGGCCATACCTTCTTCTTGAGCCTGCTAGTCATACTGCCTTACATTCACAAAGCAATGGTGCCAAGGAAAGAGAAGTTAAAGAAAATGGAATAATCTTTCTTCCTGGTAAGTAAACATCCTTAGAGCTAAGCTTGACCACCAGGTAACAAAAGTAGAGGAACAAATTGAAAATGAGACTACTATCTTTTGAGCTGCATCAGGTTGGCCCCAACCCATGGTGACCTTAATACAATGCAAACAAAATTATTTGCAGCCCACCCACCCACCATCCAGTTATCAGGTGCAGTTCAGACAGTATTCCATTGTGATCCAGTTTTCATCAGCTGATTTTTAGAAGTAGTTACCAGGTCTTACTTCCTAGTCCACCTTAGTCTGGAAGCCCCACTGAACCTGTTCCCCATCATAGCAATATGTAAGCCACCACGGGCAGACAGGCGGTAGCCCTGCGTGAGGTGCACTGGCCAGGAAACATACCTAGGTCTCCTAGATTCCTACCACCTATTCTGCCTTGAAAATTGTATTCTAACTTACTGATGCTAGGAGGGTCTAGAAGCAACCCTACCCAGCTTGCCAATCAAAGTTCTTCTCTTGCAGATGGCCTCGAGCAGGACTGGTGCAGAAACTACTTGTCTCCCTTTTCACAGGACTCCCTTGCCCCAGAGCACAGAGAACACGGAAGCCAGGGAATCAGAAGACGTGGCACTCCTAGCTGTGCCTCTGCTGCCAGCCAAGTCTTCATCTGGGGCCAAAGGGGACACTCTTGTGGGAGGAGTAGAGGGGCCCACGTCTCCCCTCTGGGCTCCCCCATGCACGATGCCTTATCTCTCCCCACCTAGCCAGGAATCTGTTGTGTTTTTCTTCTGCCAATTTACTATGATTGTATATGTGCCGCTACCACCACCCCCCCTATGGGGGGGAGGGAAGGGGTGCAAGGCCCCACCTGCTCCACTTTTTCTACCTTGGAACTATTACCAGATAAAATCACTTCTGTTTGTTCAGTTTTTCACTACTAGTGTTCCTGGCTGCCTTCTTTCCGACATAGCTCTTCTCCATACTTGCCTTTGCTGAAATAACCAGAGCTCTCTAGACCACAGTAACCTAGGAAACTTGGAGCTAATGCATCCCTTCAAAGCCTAGAGCCAGCTGCAAACACTGGAATCTCCATTATCTTCACATGAAGCCTGAAGGGAGTAAATCCTTCATACCATTAGACACCGCTAAGGTTAGGGAGGACCTGGGCCTCAGGGAGGACCTGGGCCTCGAGGGAAGTACAACCACAGTACAATGATCCTTAGAGAAAAGCATGGTGAAACTTTATCTCACATACTGTAAACATGTCAGAAGGAGCCAGATTTTGTAAAGACATCATGCTGGGGAAGGTGGAGAGTCGGAGAAAAGGAGAGATCCTCAGTAAGATATTGGCACAGCGACTGAAACAAAGACTCAAATATGTCAGATTGTTGGGATGGTGTAGGATAGGGCAAGGTTCAGATGTGTTGTTTAAAGCATCGCTAAAAGTCATAGTTCAGCATGACACAGTTAACAAGCTTAGGAACACCCACAGAACTACTAAGTTTATAAAAACCTATTTATAGATGGTACACGCACACAATAAAATAATAAAATTTTAAAAAAATGAGTATTTAAAACAAACAAAAACTATTTATAGAATAAACTAACAACAAATATACAGCCCTGGCTTCCCCAAGTCCACAGTCTTGATGCAGGAAGGACATCATCACCCAACACTCAGAACAGAGGCAAGGAATGTCAACAGTCTTTGTGTTTTGAACAAGAGTCCCAGACTGTCAGATGACCCCCCATACTTCTTCAAAAGCTGTGGTCAGTTTTGCACAGGTGAGGGCAGCAGAAAGGGGGTAGTTGCTAATGGAAACCATCTTCTCTGTATACTCCACACTGACCTAGGGAAAGAAAAGTATTGTCAGACAATTCTAATAATCTGTAAAAAACTGGTAGTAGGTTCAGCCCAGACCCAGCTAAGTTAATAACTCAAGGCACTGTTTAAGAAGTAGTTGTATAAAGGCGAGCTCTGGTGGCCTAGTGGGAGGAAACTGCACTGCAATCCCAGAGGTATGCGATTCAAATCCACCAGATGCTCTGCTGAAGGAGGAGGAACAATCACCTCCTGTACCAGTCAAATCCAATTTGACGGTACCCACATAAAATAAATAAACAAATAAAAATTATTTTTTTAAAAAAAAAAAAGAAGTAGTTGTATAAAGAATGATGGCAGTCTTGGCTTTGACTATTACAAATAACTCAGTCCTCAAAGACTGCACCTTAGGACAGGATATGAAACCTCTACTTTGTCTTTTGGCTGTTTCTACCCTCTAGTAAGAACAAAGACTGTTACAGTAAATGCTCTGTGAGTTCTTGGGATCTAAACACTTACCTTGCCATGGGCAAAGGCCCCCACCACAAAAACAATAGGGTCACTTCTGGGCACCAGCTCTCGCACATCACTAACAACTGGGATGGAAAAGGAAGTGCCAATTTTCATACATCCAACTGGAAAGTGATCAGACACTGGATTCTTAATTACCTGAAGTGGGGAGGAAACAAATATCAGCCTCGGCAACAGTCTCAAAACCGTTCTTCTAACAAGTAGGTTTTAATACCTCACCTTCAACAGCTTCTGGGGGCCATCAGCTGCTCGAACACTGAGTTTGTGTAAAAGTTGAACTAAGGGAGAAAAAGGATTCAGAGCTGACGGCAATGCTCATTTCTTCTACCCAGTCATCTAACAAAAAAACCATTGTTACATGGGCTGTGTGTCCTTTGCATACACACTACAAAATTCTAGGAGCCAACAGTTGTCCAGTGTGTAGCTAACAGGACAGTTGATGGGTTCAGCTACTCCCTTTCTTACTTAGCCAGGAGACCAGGAAGAGCAGTATTTTCCTGTACATGGAAAGTAATGTAGAGTCCTTATACTGCTATCAATCAGTCACAAGGTCCTAGCTTAAAGCCTCCACATTTAATTTCTTTCTCTTCCTCCTTCATTACTGAACTAAATCCTAAGGCTCCTCACCCATAAGGCCACAGAAGCGATCAAAAGTTCTGGGAATCCGAGTCTGGGGGTTCACTTCGATCAGCACATTCTTCTGGGTGTGGATATAAACCTGCAGCAAGCCAGCTCGGTTCAGGGGACTGTCCATCAGCATCAGTAAACTCTGAAGGAGGCAGAAAACCATTACAAAGAAGGCTGAAGAGAGCAGCATACCACTGGCTCCATACAAACTCTCATGGGATTTGAGTTCCTTCCCTAGAGTTACCTGGTGAGCTATGTCTGGTCTCACTTCCCCAGGGTCCCGTCCATTCTTCAACAACATGGATTTGTGCTTGTCGCAGTTTAGTAGCTCATATGTCTTCCCTACCTGCAAATGACCAGGGAACATGATGAGAAAGCAACATAAGCTTCTATTACCTCATGTGGTGATTCTCCAAATGTGGTCCCTGGGCCAGCAGCAGCATCTGGGAACTTGTTAAAAAGGCCAATTCTCAGGCATACTCTACACCTATTGAATAAAAAACCTTGGGGTGGGGTCCAGTAAGCCCTTCAGAGGCTGTCGTGTTATCCTAAGAAACTGAAGTTAGAGGAAAAAGGAGATCTGGTGGCACAGTGACATGTTGGGTTGTCAAGCTGAATCTACCAGCTGCTCCAAGGTAGAAATATGGACAATTTCCTCATAAAGTTTACAGCCCTGGTCCCTGTGGAGGGTCCCTATGAGTTGGACTCTACAAAGTGGATTTGATTTGGGGTTTTCGGGATCTCAAGAAAAAGGAGAAGAGCACACCAGAGATGTCATTATCATCTCAGGTGAATTTCATTTTAAAATTTGTGGCTATTAGCAAATCCAGTGAGGGATTCTAAAAGCAGGTAACGCTTTAGAAAAAAAAAGTAAATGTTTTAAATTTATCGCTAAGAGTAACACATGTGTTGGACAAAATACAATGAATGCCCTCAGTTTACTTAAAGCAATCATGTGCACCAAGAGCTCGACGAGTGCACAGGAAGACCGGAACTCAGAGCCAGGCGGGAATTTCATCAGAGAAAACAGGTCTCAGAAGACAAAGAGGAAAAGAGGTAATTACAAGATTTAAGAAAGGAAATGACACTGGGGGAAAAAAGGAAACTGAAACATGGAAGGGCAGTGATTAATATTACTTTGAAACTATTTTGTATAGAATCCTCATGTACCAAGCTCAATCCCTCTCCTCTCTCCTAAAAAATGGTCATTAAGTCAACAAGGGCTTACAAAGCATATGTCTGGTACCATTACAGTGACAGGCACTACGGATAAAAGGAAAGATTTTTTAAATTATTTGCTCTCAGAGTGCAGGAGAAGACCCCAGACGAGATGGACTGATATAGTAACTGGGGCAATGGGATGGGGTGGGGGGAGCAGGTGTGTCAGAAATAGACTGGCTCAGGACAGGGCAGGGTTCAGAGCTGCTGTACATAAGGTTGCTATGGGTCGCAGGTGACTCCATAGCACATATCAAAGACTTTTAGTGGAAAAGATAAACAATAGCATGGATATTTCATCTGGATTATAAAACATGAAGGAAAAATGAAAGCATTCATTAAGGTCCTGTCAGCAGGAGGATTTGACTTCTAACAGGAAGGATATCATTCCTGTGAGGAGGTAGAGACCCAAGAATTGTTCACTGAATTAAGAAAATAAGTAGGAATTAGGCAGAGAGCTGACTAAATGAAGCTTCCAGACTATGTGCAACATTAAAGTATAAGAAAACTTGGTGCTTTCAAAGAACTTTAAAGTCTGTAATACAAGAAATAAATGTAGACTGCAGATCCAAATGAAGTTAGTAGAAGCAAGAAAGACCAACAAAAGGAAGAAAGACAACAATAAAGTCAGATGAAGACTTCAATCAGTTATAGTCAAAGTATCACTAAGCTGAAATTATTTCAAAGTGAATTTTAATCTGGCCATGACCTCAACTTTTTAATAAGGAATACAGAATAATAAGAGTATGATTTACCCAAGGTCAGACAGTAATGTCTTTTACACATAGTATTTCTTTTACTCTTCCTAACATGTTTGTTGTTGTTGTTGTTATGTGCCGCTGAGTAGCTTGCGACTCATAGCGACCCTATGTACAACAGTCCTAAACAATGCTCTGTCCTGTGCCAATCGCACTGTCTCTGACACTCCCATCCCAATAACCCCAGTCACTGACTAAATCCACCTCATAGAGGGTCTTCCCCTCCTGTGCTGTCCCTCCACCCTACCAAGCATGATGTCCTTCTCCAAGGACCAGTCTCTTCTTACAACAGGACCAAAGTATGTTAGACAGAGCCTCAGAATCCTTGCCTCCAAAGAGCCACCTGCTTTAACCCTTTCCAGGATGAATCTGTTTGTTTTCCTAGCAGTCCATGGTACTCTCAATACTCTTCTCCAGCACCACAGCTCAAAGGTATCAATTATCCTTCTGTCCTCCTTGGTCACTGTCCAACTCTCTGATGCATAACAAGTGATTGCAAAGACCATGGCCTGTATCAGATGCACCTTAGTCTCCAGAAAGACACCATTTCTCTTCAGTACCATCGCAATACGTCTTTTAATTTCCTGGCTACTGGTGCCAAGAGTGTTGACCGTAGAGCCAAGCAAACTAAAGCTGTGAACAATCTCAATCTTTTCACCATCCATCCTGATGCTGCCAATTGGCCCAGTGGTGAGAATCTTTGTCTTCTTGACATTGAGCCTCAATCGATATTGGAGGCTACAGTCCTTGACCCTCTGCAGCAGGTGCTTCGAGGCAAACATATTATCCCCATATGATATTTGTGGAGTGCCTGAGTAATACAATCAGTTAACACATTTGGTCACTAACAAAGAAGTTAAAGTCTACCCAGAGGCACCCTAGAAGAAAGGTCTGGCACTATACCTCAAAAACTCAGTCTCTGAAAACCTTATAAAGTACAACAACACTACTAGGACACACTTTTGGGGAAGGGGCGAGCATCATCATAACTTGAAGTCAGCTTGACAGCAAAAACTATGGTTTAGGGGTGTAGTCTGGGTTTGTTGGTGTTTTTTTAAAAAACATATGAAGAACCTATGTGGTTAAGTGCTATACCTAGCATCATACAGCCAGTAAGTACAGAAAAGGGGGTTTGAACTCATTAAAAAAAAAAAACCTCAAACTCACTGCCACTGAGTTGGTGCCAACTCATAGCTGACCCTCCATCAGGTTTCCAAGAGAAGAATGTCCAACTCTCTCCTGCTAAGCCACTGGGCCAACACAAACCAAAGAAGAATGACCTTTGGGTTAGCAGCTTAACTCTCAGCAACCTGGTGGTCTAGTGGAAGTCTCTTAAATTCTCAACCACTGCAGTGCTGTCACAGAAGGAAGATAAACTTTTCATTCTTGCAAATTACAACTCTTGAAGGACAGCTGACATGATAAACATCCAAATTAGGAGACAGCAAGAAACTGAACAATGACTATGAGCCATAATTAAGTCTGAAATATCAATTACAAAATAAAAGGAAACTTGTTTAGCTAGCCACTTAAAAAAGAACAGTCATTCTAGCATACAAATTAACAAAGTTAAAATGATTAAGGAAGGATAGAGATAAAGAATCACACTTAAAATAGTTAAAGAAATGTACCACTGTACTTGAAAAGTTCATCAAAATTTCCTTCAGAGTTTAAGTATTACTTATATTTTTCAAATTAAGAACAAAAACTTATTTTCTTAAGATCACACACTTATATCTGTCAACCAAGATGAAAATGCAGGTTTGCATTCAAAATAATGCAATTTTCTTCTGGGTCTGCCAAGTGAATAAATCTAGCGCTAAAGAACAAAAGAAAATGAGAAAAATGGCACTAAGTTTTAAGATAGAAAATGGCTGGATTTATTATTCAGGAAAAACAGCTTAGTTGGGTAAAATAAAGATGTAAACGTATTTAAAGATAATATGGTCTAAGCAATGCAGTGACAGAATGCAGTAAAAAAACTAAAAAATGCATGAACAACCTTTCTCTTTGGGCATGTTGCTAGGAGGGCTTTTCCTTGGAGAAGGACATGATGCTGGGAAAGGTGGAGAAGACGACCCTCAACCAGGTGGTCAGACAAGGTGACTGCTACAATAGGCTCTTGTGTGTCAGAAAATATGAAGATTGCGCTGGATAGAACAGGGTACAGATCTTTTGTTCACAGGGTCCCTTTGAGATCTATTCGACTCCAGGGCACCTAAAAACCACAACCACATTTCTCTTTTGCCTAGTAGTAACCTAACCAGTCTTGGGAAGTAAGACAAGCAAATTCCCTTTCCTTGTTGCTGGGTTAACTACAAGTTATAGTTAATTAACATCAAGTGAGTTCTAATTCATGTCAATCCTAGATGTAATAGAATTAAGTGCGGGGTACTATGTCATTTTCACGATAGTGACAAATAAGAGCACAGTGAGAATGTTCCGATCGAAAGGGCCTTTGTGGGCTTACTTCCCAGGCCTTCCTTCCAGTCTATCTTAGTTTAGTAACTCAGTGAACCCTGTCCACCATGGGTGACACTGTTGGCACTTCAAATCCCGGTGGCGTAGCATCAAGCTTCTTAGTAACACATAAACCACTACCAAAAAAATAAGACAGACAATCCACTGTCCGATGGTTAGTGGCTTCTTCTTTTAGATGACTTCACAAAATCATGGCAAAACAACTGGAAAGAATAAAGTGTGGGCTAGAATGGGTCTCAAGAAAGGTCAAAAGAAAATGAGTGCAGACGAACCAGAATGTTAAATCACGAGACAATGCGACATCTATGCGCCAAAAGAACGTTCCGCCTCCTTCCATTCCCCTAGCCCCGTGCAGCCCCTCATCCTCATCCCATGGAGTCCCAGTCTATCAATTTACTAGTTTTACCCTCCCAAACTCTTCTTCTTAACTACCTTGACTGTCTCCAGACTGGCCCCTTCCAGCACCACAATGAGCCTGCAGCCTCCAGTCTTGCTCCCCGCCCCGAGTCGGGGACGCTTGGGCGGCACAGCATCCCAGTCCTGCTCCTGCTCGCCATCGCGCCGCTCACGAGGTTGGAATCCGCTACTGGGCGCAGCCATCTTGTAATCAGACCGGAATTTGCGCTATGGTCCTCACGTCAATTTTTCAGACTAGAACTTCGTGCTGCAGCGGACCTCACCCTAATCTCGCATTTCCTTCCGGCTGCCATTTTAGAAGTGGGAGTTTGGAAATGGCGAAGATATGCTGTCTCCCGCTACTGAAGCCACCCTGGGAGGGCAGGGTTACAAACGGGGGCGGTGACTTCCGGATGCGTACTTCCTGTGCGCGAAGTTTGGGTCCGCCGCTGGGCGGGGAGGAGGGTTTAGAAGAGCGCGCACTTCCGGTGCCCTTTCTCCCGTTGCCACTGCTGGCCTCGGACCCTCGTGTGAAGGGTGTGATCCTTAAACTGGGGAGGGGTAGAGACGGGCCGACACTCCATTCGGACCCGCGGGCCCGCCGCCCTCAGGCGTGGACATGGCCCAGAACTTGAAGGATTTAGCGGGAAGACTGCCTGCCGGCCCTCGGGGCATGGGTACGGCGTTGAAGTTGCTCCTGGGGGCCGGCGCCGTGGCCTACGGCGTGCGCGAGTCGGTGTTCACTGGTGAGCTTCCTCTGCCAGGATGCTGAACCCAACACCTTCCCGGTTGACCTTTCGGAAACCTCTTAACCCCTCATTCAACTCCTTGCCATGCCCCAAGGCGTCTTTGCGCTCCCTTAGCCTTTGATCCCGTCCCGTCCCACCCCCCAGACTCTTGCAAGTACTTAAACTACCATTGGCCTGATTCCCACTCTCCCCTCCACAGTGGAAGGCGGCCACAGAGCTATCTTCTTTAATCGGATCGGGGGCGTGCAGCAGGACACCATCCTGGCCGAGGGCCTGCACTTCAGGTAATGGCGGGCCGAGACGCACTGACCCTGACCCTTTACCTCTGACGCCAACCCACTAGTAGCAGCTGCAGAATTTAAGGCTCATATCTCGCCTCACCTCATTTCCCAGGAAAGCAAGTGTCGCCTGAAGCCCCAATAACCAAAAAAATTGCTGTTACCTAAAGGGAGAAGTTCTCTTAAGTCGACCACCAAGGAAAACTTTATATGGGAAACCGTCCAAATCTAATAAATAGTCTAATCTATGGCTGCTTTCTTCCTTTCAGAATCCCCTGGTTCCAGTACCCCATCATCTATGACATTCGAGCCAGACCCCGAAAAATCTCCTCCCCCACCGGCTCCAAAGGTAGGTCTGGGTTTCACAAGACAAACAAAGGAACCTGGCAGGAGATCCTAGGAAAAGTGGTAGTGTGAGACCTCTTGGGACTTGGTTTCCAAATCACAAAACTATAATCCAAGCAGTTACCTTGGGGTGTTAGCAGTACAGGGTCTGCACACTGTGTTCATGTATTGTTATTGTTTCCCCAGTGTAAACTATAAATTGTGCAAGATTCTAGTTTGTTTTATTCAGTGCCTGGATCAAAATTTAAAAGTTGAGGTGGAAAGGCTCTTTTGTCTTTGACTTACAAAGTTGCATTCCATGTCTTGAGGAAAAGTTCTTATCCCACTTCTCGCATGTTCACTTCTTTTTTTTTTTCTCTCGCATGTTCACTTCTAACATCCCCATATTCTCACATTCTTACCATACCTAGAAACTATCCTTTTTTGATTCTTCAGACCACTTCCTCATTACAATCCCTCCCCATGTGCAACAGAGACAAGCACCTGTAAACTGTGCTACATTTATTTCTGCTTTTTTTTCAGTGCTTGTCATTTATTCATTTGCTAAACTCAAAGCCCTGAGAACAGTTGGCATAAAACACAGTCCTCTCCCAGAGGTGCACGGTTCAAATCCACCAGATGCTCTGCTGGAGGAGGAACAATCTCCTCCCGTACCAGTCAGATGTGATCTGACAGTACACACACACACACCACAAAAAAAAAAAAAAAACCCAAAATCCCTGTAAATGTTCATTAAAATTAATAAAATTTAATAAAAAAATTAAAAAAAACAAACAATGAAAAAAATTTAAAAAAAAACAACACAATCCTCATGGTGAAGTTATGTTAAGTAAAGAAGATAGATGATTGTAAAAAACATAGGTTGTGTATGCAAAGTACAGTGGTAAAAAAAGTGTCACCTCTGCACACCCATGTTTATCATGGCTTTGTTCACAATAGCAAGGAGTTGGAAACAACCTAAGTGCCCATCAACAAATGAATGGTTAGAGAAGCTGAGGTATATTCACACAAGGGAATACTACACTGCATTGAAAAACAACTCATGAAATATTTTTCAGAATAGGTGACCCCGGAAGACATGCAAAGGACAAATAATGCATAGTGCCACTGTTCTAAAACAGGACTGACATCGGGGTTGAGGGGAGATTGAGAAAAAGGGATAAATAATGTATATTGCTTTGAAACAGATGAGGGAGAAAATTGTTTAAAAGGGATATGTGACTAGGTATTATTGTCATGACAGGAGTCCAGAACAAAGGCTGCATAGTGGAGTGGACCTGGGGGGAGGGATTGTATAACAGTGAAAGAATTTTTCTCTTACTTTTCAAAGAGAAGAGTGTACTGGGGGGAGCAGTGGGCAGGAAGAAAAGTGCAACAATGAGTGAATGGAAATCCAAAGACTCTGTAAATTTTCATTAAAATAATTTTTTTAAAAAAAGTGTCACCTCGGGGAGCTCTGGTGGCCTGGTGGCAAGAAGCTGCAACTATAATCCCAGAGGTGCGTGGTTCGAATCCACCAGATGCTCTGCCGGGGAAGGAGGGACAATCTCCTCTTGTACCAGTCAGATCTGATTTGACGGTACACGCACACAAAAATAATAAAATTTAAAAAAAAGTGTCACCTCTACCATTAGAGGGATTGTGGGTTAACACAGACACATTGCATGGGCACATGTCTGGTAGAGGGCCTCATTAGAGCCCCCATGGCCTTAACTTAACCAGCCACTTGTGGAATCTCAGACCTGCAGATGGTGAACATCTCCCTGCGAGTTCTGTCTCGGCCCAATGCCATGGAACTTCCCAGCATGTACCAGCGCCTCGGGCTAGACTACGAGGAGCGAGTGTTGCCGTCCATCGTCAATGAAGTGCTCAAGAGTGTGGTGGCCAAGTTCAATGCCTCACAACTGATCACCCAGCGGGCTCAGGTCTGGCTCCCGTTGCCATCAGCACTGTCAAAATTCCCCTCTTAGATGCAGGGCACAGGGACCAAGTGGCAAGAAAGGAACCTTATTAGAAAAGGATTGTGACCTTCGTTCCGTTTCCACCTAAATCCTATAGAGTGTCAGGACTTAACTCATTAGCAGTGTTGAAGAACAGGGGAAAACAATTTAAGAGATAGGCGTCCTATACCTCTCAACAACAAGGTGGAGTTTGTCTAACAAGAGAGTAAAGATGTTCTTGCAGTTGTAGAGCAGAGGATTAGGAGTCTGCGTGGCCTTGGGCAGTCATCCCCACCTCTAATCCTGGCTCTTCTTTCTTACTAAAAGATTGGACAGCAGTGTCCTTTGAATTCTCCTGTTCTGGTGAGGAGTAGAAAGATTTAGTGCTTTTTGTGCCACTCTAAAAACATCTGACATTCAGGTGGTCACAGCAGCATACCTTCCTTTCAGTTTTCCAGTCCCCTCAAAACACCCCACCCTTCCCCTCCTCACCCCCACTCCCAGGTATCTCTGCTGATCAGACGGGAACTGACAGAGAGGGCCAAGGACTTCAGCCTTATCCTGGACGATGTAGCCATCACAGAGCTGAGCTTTAGCCGAGAGTATACTGCTGCTGTAGAAGCCAAACAAGTGGGTGAGTCACACGAGATGAGACAAGGGCTTCTGAGAATGCAGGAGGAGTACGGATGGTGGATGAAGTTCATGACCCCAGCTTTCCTACTGCAGCCCAGCAGGAGGCCCAGCGGGCCCAGTTCTTGGTGGAGAAGGCAAAGCAAGAACAGCGGCAGAAGATTGTACAGGCCGAGGGTGAAGCTGAGGCTGCTAAGATGATATCCTTTTGCTAGAAAGATCTCGGTCTAGTCCTTAGCACACTTTTTTTCTCTCATCCCTGATGGGCCCGCTGATGAGACTAAGGCGAATGCGATTCTTTGTGCCTGCTTACCCTTGGATCCCTAGGGCGTGGATCTGAAATCTTGGTGGGGTGCCTGAAGCCAGGCTTCCTACTGTAAGGCCAGATCAATAGCATTACTGGCCTTACCCTGTTCCTGCTGCTGTCCCCAGTTTCTGGCAGCTGCTTGCAGGGAGGCCTACAGATGGGGGACTAGTGTAGGGTGAGGCACGAGCCATCTGAGCGCAACCTTGGATCTGACGGCCTGGAGGATTCGGTGGGAGGCAGTTGAGGATTGTGCTAGGGATTGAGACCTGGCTGTGTGTGGACCCTTAGCCTATCCTTGCTCACCTTGGAGAAGCACTGAGCAAGAACCCTGGCTACATCAAGCTGCGAAAGATCCGGGCAGCTCAGAACATTTCCAAGACGGTGAGTATGCAGGCACTGCTCTGAGAAAACGGGTTTTCTAGTAAATCACATTCCCACGAACACAGTAGTCTCGAATTTCAGATTTCTGTTCACACTGGTTTTCATACTCCTTCCCATCAAAAGCTATCCTTTTAAGTTCATTTTACACTTTGTCATGCTTTATTAATGGTTCCAAGTTCCCATAGTTGAGTTTCTTGCTACTCTTAATCTTCAGATGAGGGTAGAAACCACATATCCTAACAAATGTGTATCCCATAAATGGTTATTCAGTGGCAGGGTTAGCAGTTAGGATTTGGTGGATTACTGCAAGCTTCTCTTTGCATTTCTGCAGATTGCCACATCACAGAATCGTATCTATCTCACTGCTGACAACCTTGTGCTAAACCTGCAGGATGAAAGTTTCACACGGTGAGAGATGTAACCTGCACAGGAGAGTGTCACCGAGCGTTGGCACACAAGATCGTTTATGTGATACGATTTGTATAGTACGTAAGACAGGATTTATATGGTGCATAAGAAACAGTTTATATGCACCAAAGTTTTACCAGAAAGAAGAGTAGTTCCTGTTTTATATCTCATAAAACTGGTTTTTGAA